TAACAATATAATTAACATTTTTCAAGCCTCTGCTACTTAAAACACTGTTTTAAAACATATTTGAAAAGTCACCTTGTCTTAGAACTGTCATTTTTAATATGCCAGAAATTATGACTGGGAATTAGGCAGATTAAAATAATATGAGTTTCAAAGAGTTTGAAGTCATAAATAAATGGTTTATTGTGACTGTAAATATTGTGTGTCTCTGTGTGTAAATGTAGGTGTATAATCATCCTGGATAGAAAAGCAGAGCTTTTCTTTCTGTAGTTACGCATTCTCCTTCTGTTTCTTTTTTTAAGACCTTTTTTTTTTTTGGCAATTTTTTTTACTCAAAACTATTTAAGTTGCATCGCCATACAGTATGTCATAAATCCGTCCCCTGAAATAACTTTAGATAGCTCTGAATTTGATGCCTCAGATACAACAGGCAATATAATTGTTCCCGAGACATAAATGTCAAAAGTCAGGGTCAATATTTTTTTTTAAAAGGGGGTTTTAACCATCCTTGGGAATCTACCTCTACTCTGGTGGTCTGTAGTTATTACTTTTATTGAAGTTTAAGGGTTTAACATTGCAAGGGGAGAAGATATATACAGTATCTAAAAGATATATAACAAATGAAATGCTTCATCATTGTTTTTTATGGTGTATCTTAATAAATGAGGCTTTGTTTTATCTCCTATTCATATAGGATTTCATAAGACTTTCATAAAACCTATACACACATATCTTTGCCATTACTATTATGCAACAAGATGGAAGAGATTCTGGCTTTTGCAGTATGTATTTCTCTGGGAAAGTTTTGAGTTTCAATTTATGGATCCCCAACAGTTCTCATCTTTCAATATAAATCAATTGAAGAAAAGGCCAAAAACTTTATAATGTGTTTTTATGCCCTCTTGATCCTTCCAGCAAAAGACAAGAGTATCATAAAATGCTGACTGCACTGGTTTTTTTAGTAGAAAAAAATTAAACTATAGAATGCGGAGAAGTGAAGTGGGAACAAAGGTCACCAAACCAATAAGAAAAAGAAGAATTTTTCCTCATTGGTTAACCTCCACCATGAGTATTAAATGCTACCCTGATTTATTGGAGCAAATGGCTTCTCTGCTTGTTTTTCACAATTCGGAAAGTATACATTGCATCAATTTGAACTTCTTCCATTGAATATTCATACACAGCATTCAATGTTCACTAGTGAATCACCTACATTTGGAAATCTGCACAAATCATTATAGACATGCACAGGGGTGAAATCTAAAAATTTTCCCTACCAGTTCTATGGGTGTGGCTTGGTGGGGGTGTGTCCTGTAACTGAGTGGGCATGGCCAACTCGATGTCACTCACAGCCACGCCCACTCAGTCAAAAAAAACCCTCCCACCAAGCCACGCCCACAGAACCCGGTAGGAAAACTTTTTAAAGTTCTATTCTGGCGTGTCCTAACCTTTCTCCCGCAGCTCCGCCCACCCACCCCATTCCCTGACTCCTACTGCTCACCTTTCTCCCACAGCTGGCTGTCAGGGAAGGCAAGCGCCCGAAAGGTACCGGAGTCGCTCAGTCTCCTTCTTGAATGAGCCGCTCTGGTCCACCCGCCAGCTGCACAAGCGCACACCATTTATTTAATTCAGCGGCAGGTTGGGTGTGCGCTTGCGCAGCCGGTGCGTGGACCAGAGCGGCTCATTCAAGAAGGAGAGTGTACACCGCACTGAGTCCTTCGGGAGAAGGGTGGTATAGAAGTCCAATAAACATAAACATAAACATAGATGATGTTCTCTATCATCTGTTCATTCTCAGATGAAACATGTCAGTATTTACAGCGTAACTACTATTTTGAGATAACCCAGGAGCAAAATACAGATGATGGAATGAGAATGAGTTGGCAGGGTTATTGCCCCTTTAAGAAGCTGTCTATATAAGGGAGGCCATTAGAGGGTGTCTATCTCTCTTCATGTATCACTCTCCTCGTTGTGTTCTATCTGCATTGTAGTTCTCCGTGTAGAGTTGAAGATTGATTGCTTGCCTGGTATGTGCCTACCACATGTGTGCATGTATACAAAGTCTTGTATATAAACCACTGTTTGTAAGACAAACCTCTGTGTCCTGTATTTTGCTCCTGGATTGTCTCAAAACAGTAGTCTGACTGTAAACACTCTGACAAAACATTTTTAATTACAACCCTTATTCACAGTTTCTTTATAATGGTGTTTTTTAAATTTTGTTTCATCATCAAACTTAGAATAAAGTGGTCCTATATAGAACTGACAGAAACATATTATTGTATTTGTGAAACCATTGATCATTTTTTATGAAACTTATATGAAGAGGAGATAGACCAAAGCTTCATTTATTGAGATTCACCATAAAAACAATTATGAAGCATTTAGTTTGAGAGATAGATAGATAGATAGATGATAGATAGATAGATAGATAGATAGATAGATATAAAGATAGATAGATAGATATAAAGATAGATAGATAGATGATAGATAGATGGATAGATAGATGATAGATAGATAAATAGATGAGAGAGAGAGAGAGAGAGAGAGAGAGAGAGAGAGAGAGAGAGAGAGATCATTCTATATGAAGTCTTCATAATGTACATTTTCATGTTTTATGGTTTGAGAAATGTCGGCTAGAATGGGTTTGGATTTCATACACATTTCGGCAAGATTTGTACAGTACGATCCTAATAAGGAGACTCTTTAAAATGGTCTTAGAATAGTTTTAATAGGTAAAGGCTTAATTTGTGTTGCTGTGTTGAGCCAGTCAATAGATGCCTTCTCCATATTTGCTCTAGAAGAAAAAGGCAAAAATTCTCTATAGGGAATTTAATTCACAATCAACGGTTTTTCACATGAAATGTGAAGACATTTGGAAAATTCAACACAGCAGTATGATTAGTCCCAAATTAATGAAACAAGACAATTCAAAAGCTACTGAACAGCCATCATATCTCCAAGGTAGTATTTAAATGGAATACTCTGATTCACATTTAATAGCAATCATATTTGTTTTTCTGTTCCGACCTTCTCAAACTATAAGATGATCAGCAACAATCCCAGTCTGCCTAGCAATCAGAAATTATGGAAGTTGTAGCCCAACACATTTAGAAAGACTCAGGCATCACATATCCAACTGATGAATTATCATTAAAATATTCAGTGTGGGTGATGTATACCTGATTTATGTGAACGAAGGCTAGCAACAGGTTGAAAGGTTTCTACCATTAAAACTCTGACTGCAAAAACCTTTGATCCACAACAGATATCTAAATCATCCATGTGACAGTCAGGATGCCAATATTATCATCATACAATAGTTACAATAGTGCTGGTATACCATATTACATATTTACAGCAGTATCAATGTTTCCCCACCCCCCACCACATTGGAGCTGTTGGTTAATTGCAGTGCTTCTACACTCTAAAGGGAATAATTAATAATTGCACACAGATTAGTATTACGATTATCAGGTTAGCATTTGTTGTAATTGTTTACACTGTGATAAGTGTTTCATAATTCCACTGGTTGCTGATTTGTTTATTATTTCTTTATTTTGCTTTTCTAATATGGTCTACAACAGGTGTGAATTTCTGCTTAAAATCACCTAACATACTTTTGTCCTAAAGCACACACTGTCACTTTCAAAGCAACTGGTAATTTGATAGATATTTTTTCTCTATTGCAAGTAACTCCCCAATCTAAACGCCCTAAGAATGGCATATTTTCCTTAGAAATGGAAAAACTGCTGAGTACTGTATATGGAATGACTGGTGAATAACCTGAAGGGGAAAAAATGAAAGTTTACACATACAGTGGTACCTTGGTCCTCAACCAGGGGTGAAATCCAGCAGGTTCTTACAGGTTCTGGAGAACCAGTAGTGGAAATTTTGAGCAGTTTGGAGAACCAGCAAATACCACCTCCGGCTGGCCCCAGAGTAGAATGGGAATGGAGATTTTGCAATATCCTTCCCCCAGTAGTGGGGTGGTAATGGGGATTTTGCAGACCCCTTCCCCTGCTATGCCCATCAAGTCACGCCCACAGAACCAGTAGTAAAACAAATTTGGATTTCACCACTGTATTCAGCTGCTTTGAAACTCATCAAATTTAATGAAGTTTTAGACTTCATTAATAGAATCACACTTGCTTTCCAATTTAGTAGTAAAAAAATTCCCTTCCCTTCCATAAGTAGTTAAATCTCATAAGTTCTCCTGTGATACAAATATAAAAGAACTAAGTCTATTTAACTTGGTGAAGGGGAGATTTAAGGAAATAATAAATACTAGAAAGAATATAATGTAGGATGTAGGTTTTTTTCTGTAGGATTAGAGATTGGGTTTCATGGGGTTTTTTCCCCAGTTTATTTCTCTTCTTGAGGAACAAACATGGTTGGTAGTCTCATAACTGTATGGAAGAATAAAGTTTGATGGCTGTTTTTATATGGTACCATGTCCTATCAGTCTTGATTTAAATAGTTTTCCTTCCTTGATTGCTCTTTGAGCTGGTGTGGTTTAGCTAGGGCTGGTTCTTGCTTGTCTAGTATTGGTTAATAGGCATGTTATGAGGAATGGTGTGCTTAGGGATGCTTTCCCCTTTCCTTGGCCTTTGTTTGCTTCCTTTTTTCAAATGGTCCATAGATGGAGGTTATCTCAGTGTGCCTGTTAATGGTAGGTTTGTCAGAGCACCAAGTCTCTTGCATTTTTGGATCAGGTGCAGGGTCTAAAATACCTGGCTCTGACTCAATCCTACCAAGACTTTGTAGCTGTGGATAGTAGGGCCAGCTGAATCTGGAAATATTCCATCTCTAATCTTGGAGAGTTCAAAAGTACTTCTGGTACTCAGTTCCTGCTCAATGACAAGGTGACAACTGTAGCCTGGAAAATGTTTATATAACTCCATCTAATGTACCAGCTATGCCCTTTCCTGGACTAGAAAGCCTTTTGACAGTCACTCATGCCTTAGTTGCCTTGACTACTGCAACACATTCTACATAAGGCTGCTCTTGAAGACCACTCAGAAGCTTCAGTCCAGATTCCAATACTTCAGGCAGTGGTAAGTATGCCACAGTATGCCCATGTGACAACCTGTCTACAAACTGCACTGGTTTCCAATATACTTCCAATCCAGATGCAATTCAAGATGCTGGTTATGCCTACATGGCCTTGGCCCTAGTTATCAGAGGGACTGCCAATCTTTCATCATCAGTAAGAACCAACAGGTTGGCTCACTCCCTTCAATTAAACAATGGTTGTCCTCTGAAATGAGGTTCCTCTAGAGATCCATGTGGTTCCTGACCTGATAGCTTTCAGGAAAATCTTGAACAGGTTCTCTAGTCCTTGTGCGAAAGTGGTTGTATAAATATATAAAGACCTTTTTTCTCTCTGAACATGAGCACTATGACTTTATTTTAAAAAGCTCTTTAATTTTTAAAAAATGTTCTACGTTGTTTGTTTATAGTGCATAAACCAAAACAACTCTGGAGTTATTTTATTTTCCAGTTTAATATCATTCTCACTATAATGATTCCTGACTATTGTATTCTGTGTCGGAGTGTGTGCCTATGAGTGCATGCACATGCATGTATATGCTGTACTGCTTAGTGCTACAAAAATCCTAATTGTACTTAAACACGTGCTTAAGTACTCTGTTGAACTGAAGCCCAGGATGGGAATAAAACTTCATCTGGATTCTACAATCCTAAAATTGCTCTTACAGCACTTAACTGATTCTGGGCAGTGGAACCGGTGCCAGCAATGTGCTTTCAAAATTGGTCTGTAAGACCCCTTCATGGCAATAGTGCATTAAAATATGAGCATAAGGAGATTGCAAAATCATCTGCTGGGTTTATATGTTGTTCCACAGAAGATGAAAGGCTCCAGGTATGGAAAAGCTCCTGCAGGGTAGGAGATGAATAATGTTAATGCAGTGATCAGATTTTAAGCCCTGGACATTCTTGATTTTTAGAAGCTTTCATATTCCTCCTTTTGGCCAAATTACTGCTAAAAATCTAGCAAAAATTTCTGATTTTTCTTTTCATAATTCTTTATCTAACACTTCTCTCATCAATTACAGATGAGGACCAAATCATAACAAGCTCAATACAATCTGAGAATACAACATTAATGTTGTATTAAATAAATTGCTTGCTTCTGTTGTCAGATCTGAACATAGATCATAGATCATAGAATTTTTATTGGCCAAGTGTGATTGGACACCCAAGGAATTTGGCCTGGTGCATAAGCTCTCAGTGTACATAAAGGAAAAGATATGTTCATCAAGAATTCCAAGGTACAACACTTAATTATAGTCATAGGGTACAAATAAGCAATCAGGAAACAATCAATATCAATATAAATCGTAAGGATACAAGCAACAAAGTTACAGTCATACAGTCATAAGTGGAAGGAGATGGGTGATGGGAATGATGAGAAGATTAATAGTAGTGCAGATTTAGTAAATAGTTTGACAGTGTTGAGGGAATTATTTGTTTAGCAGAGTGATGGCATTTGGGGAAAAACTGTTCTTGTGTCTAGTTGTTCTGGTGTGCAATGCTCTATAGCATCGTTTTGAGGGTAGGAGTTGAAACAGTTTATGTCCAGGATGTGAGGATGTGACAGGATGTGATAGCAAGATGGCTTGGGCAAAGACAGTTTATACATTAGTAGCCACAAGCACCTATCCATGGTAGATTGCTGAAGTTTATCACATAACCAGGGTCTGGAATGGCTGTCAAAAGCTACCTTATAGCATACACATGTTTATCAGAATTGGTTAGATATGTATATCTAACTCTTAACTAATTTCACAGTTACTTATTGTAGATGTTTTGCTGCTTATATTTAGAAACTTATATGCCTATACTTGGTGGGTACTGCCCTATTGCCTTTTTTTTTTAAAAAAAAAAGATGGACATGATGATAACTTTGGCCCAGTTCTCTGGAAAGCATGCAGAGGAATAAAGAAAACGAGCGATGCAAGAACTGGAACCCACCAATCTATATGGTTCTTAATTAGTTCAGCTGGAATGAAATCATTTCCTGGGGATTTCCTTGTCTAAAGCTGCTCAATTAGTTGCTTAATTTTTGAAGTGGTGATCGGGGGCCAAGAAGGGATACCATTATTGGTGCAATTTAAAAGAGTGTAGCAAGGATCTACTGAGGCATTAAGCTCAGGGTTTTTTTTACTACTCTAGACAATGTGAAAAAATAATATTGCTACCATTATACGCATGTTCCTCAGTGAATTTAATTTTAAAGGCTGTAGAAAATCTAAAATCTTTGAGAGAAGAGCAGATAGTTGTTTCAACACAGAGTAAGCTAACAAGCATTTGTGATCGTATTCAAGGCTGAAAGCATATTTTGTGGAGGTTTTTATATAGAGGAAGTGTATTTGGGGTTCTATGTATGTGCGTGTATTCATTGAAACATTTCACCAATATTCTGAAAAGTGTTGCAAATCTGAAAATTCTTAATTGGCTGCTTCAGAAAAGTAGGCCAATTATTTTCAATTATAACGTAGAACTTACACAATTAGATGTCATATTTTTAATAGGTATTTCAAACAAGATCTGGAATATTCCTCCTCAGGATGACATCCCCAAAGAAGATAATGAAATGTTTAACACTATACTGTGCTGAACAATCCAGAGATGGTAATCATTGAAACTTCTGAAGTGATAGAGAACTGCTGCCAGTCCATATTTCTCTGGGAAATTGTCTCCATTAGTTTGACTCCATATTAAGAATGTGCAAAAAAAAAATGTTCACACAGCACTTTCACTTCAAACTGGTGGTATTTTGAGTATCCTAGAAGTTGTTAGGCATTAAAGTATTCCTATTCCAAGCATACTTCTTACATCAGTAAGGGTGGCAACCCCTCAATATTTGAGGGGTTGCCACAAAGAAGAGGGGGGGGGTCAACCTATTTTCTAAAGCACCAGAAGGCAAGACAAGAAACAATGGATGGAGACTAATCTAGGAGGGAAGCAACCTAGAACTAAGGAGAAAATTTCTAACAGTGAGAACAATTAACCAGTGGAATGGCTTGCCTTCAGAAGTTGTGGGTGCTTCATCACTGGAGGTTTTTAAGAAGAGATTGGAAAACGATTTGTCTGAAATGGTAGAAGGACTCCTGTTTGTGCATAGGGTTGGACTAGAAGACTTCCAAAGTTCCTTCCAACTCTGTTATTCTGTATTCTCTTTCTGGTCCTTCCAATATATAGCTGATGAGATTGTCAGCTTCTGATTTCAGTGTTGTAATTACAATCTTTCAATGCGGATTTATTTCTGTAAGTGATTTCAAAAATATTCTCCTCCCCTGTAAACGAAACATTGCATTTGGAAAGCTATTGCTCTAGACCCGTGATGGTGAACCTATGGCAGGTGTGCCAGAGGTGGCACGCAGCGCCCTCTCTGTGGGCACGCAAGCCGTCACCCCAGTTCAGCTCTGCCGCACATGTGCCCGTGTCTCCCATCAGCCATCTGGGCTTCAGGTCTGCTGCACAGGCATAGGGGGCAGAGGGGGTGCATGCATGGGGGTGTGCACACGCATGCATGGGGGTGCAGGGGGCACATGTATGTGAGCTATGCATGCATTGCATTTGGGGGGTTGGGGCATGCACACATGCATGTGCACGCCCGCGCTTTGAGCACCCGGTCCGGAAAAGGTTAGCCATCACTGCTCTAGACTGACATTTTAAAAATATGACTACAGTGATGTTGCAACGATCCTAAATGTGCAAAATGGTCATGTCAGTTTTTCCGTTGTCATTGTAACTTTGAATCAGAAATGGGTTTCAGCAGATTCTGACCAGTTCTGGAGAACCGCTAGTGGAAATTTTGAGTAGTTCAGAGAACTGGTAGTAAAAATTCTGACTGGCCCCGTCCCCATCTATTCTCTGCCTCCCAAATTCCAGCTGATTGGGAGGAAATGGGGATTTTCAGTTATCTTCCCCTGGAGTGGAGAGGGAATGGAGATTTTACAGTACCCTTCCCATGCCACGCCCACCAAGCCATGCCACGCCTACCAAGCCACACCTACAGAACCGTTAGTAAAAAAATTTGAAACCCACCACTGCTTTGAATGGTCACTAAAGGAATGATTGTAAGTCAAGGACTAACTGTGTACACCATTTCCCCTCTTTGCATTTAGTTTTGAATTTCTAGTTAAACAAGCGCAGAAGTTTAGAAAGATAAGAAAGCTAAAGTCAGACCGAGTTGATAATACTTTCTAGCCTTTTTTGTTTCAGAATGAACACAGTAACTGAAGAGAAAAAAGACCTCTCCAGATTCAGAGCGGCCCAGTAATTCCCCTACAATTTGTCTTTGCTCCTTTTGATTTCAAAATATTAACCTTTAAAAACGATAGCTATTGCCTCCTTCTTAAAATATCGGGACATAGTATACTGAATAGCTTTATAAATAACGTGTTGTTTTTTTAGCAGAAAGAGAATGAGAACTTTTGTTATTTTGTGACCTTTACAGAATAAAATGCCTTTTCAGTTTAAATGGGTTATATTTTTCAAGTATTTTTTTTTTCATTTTTATCGGTAAAAACAATGGAGCATAATATTGTTTTAATCATTAATATTTTAAAAAATTAAAATTGTGAATAGCTCTTTTGCTTTTAGAACGTGATACCCCAGGTTTCGCATAGAATAAATGGTGTTATTTTTGAGTGGGTTCTCCAAGTATTTCAATTAAGTCCAATCAAGGGGGAAAAACATTGATTTGTGCTTGATTTTTTTCCCCGCACAAGAGATGCAACCCATTTAATCAAAACACAACAGATGTGTAAATATAGCAAATCTTTCATTGCGAAGTCCTTCAACAGCAAAATAAAATGCTTGTTTCATAAGAATGAATTTCTATGTCTACAACATTCTGATAGAACCATCCATGCATGCCACATAACATAAAGAAATTTGCAATCCTTCAAGATACATCCTGAATAGTACCTTCTTGAGATATTCTTCTAGAAAAAAAATTGAAACAACTTCTGCAACTGAAAAAGAAACATATGAGATATAAGCTAGAAGTGGGAATGTATATTTATCTACCTATCTCTGTATCTATCTACTTCCATTCTGTATCTTTTATAAAATGATGATAGAATATGGAGTTCTTAAACTCAATGTAACCATTCCTTTCCTCCTTGCAGCTGCTGGTAGTTGAATCCATTTTTCTCTAAACACTCCTTGACTTTTTTCATTCCTTTTCTCAATTGACTTCCTAGGACAGATACGGCTTCTTAACTGATAACCTAAACCAAACTATTGTTGTCACAGCTTTGGAGCACCTGAGTTCTATCCACAGAGAATAACTTCCTCTCCATTTCACATACTCCTTCTGCAACCAACATGTCACTTTCAGATGCGGCTTCTCCAAGGTGATCCAGGTGTTTCTCCTAATGTAGATCACTTTTGATTGGGTTAAGAACAAAAAAGAGCTCGGATTGTCAGGATGCCTGGGGTTCCATTATGCTTGGGGGGGGCATTTCCTTCTTTTAAATGCCTGTTTTGCGTTTTATACTTTCAGCTTTGAATTCGTTTGAGCCGGATTTTAGTCCCCACTTAGAAAACGTAGGCAGTCCTAACTGACAGGTAGTTTTTGAGTCTGAATATTTAAATTCTTATGCTGCGACCAACCACTTACTATTTTATATTGAGAGAGGCCCACCGTGCCAGGGGATTTTCATGTAAAACAAAATCTCCAGCTGCTAGAGACAATGGAGAGACTAACCCAAATTTGGGTCAAGAGTGACACCCCGTGGCCAATTATTCTTTTTTCCTATCTTTTTTTTCCCTCTCTCTCCTCATGTCTTTCCCTTTTCCCCCTCTTTTTGCTTTTTGGGATTTTGTTTCCACATTGCTTGCTTGAAAAAGACGGATCCTTGGGGCAATACGGTTTTGGTTTCTACCCAGGTGTTTGGTCAAAATATTCAGCAACCTTCTTTTTCTGTCCTTTCTAAACTATTAAACTGCAAACTGGAAATGGAGCTGACACTGCAGCCATGAATCTGGAAGTTAGACATTGTTCTGGCACACACACAAAAAAACCCTGCTCTGTTGCTTGGGGCTTTGTCTGCAGCGTTTGGCTTTTGGCCCTTTTAAGAAAGAAGTTCTCTGAAGATTAAACCGAGATCGCAAAATTAATCTCATTTCTGGTTTATTTCACAGCTGACCTCGAATTGAAAAGATTACAGACCACCATGTAGCACGTCTCTCTGGGAGGATGACAGAATTAAATAGTGGAAATGTCTAAGTTTCCCCACTGTTAAAATGTCTTACTAAAAGAGGAAGGGAAGGAATTAATAATAATAAAAAAAATGATGGAAGATCTTACTTATATTCCTTTACGGAAAATTTGTTGATTGTGTTTGATACATTTGTGTGCTTTCTAGTAAGTAATTTACGGCTTTTATATCATATGCATAATACTGTAAAAAATTACACCTTTGCTTGTAATAAAGTATTTATCCTATATATATCTGCCTGCCTGTCTCTATTCACCCAGCTATCTTACCCTGTTCCTTGTACCTCAGGCTTTCCATAAGAGGTAGAAATTTTCCAGATTCTCTTTGTGATATCTTGTGAACAGGAAAACAAAAATGTAATTAATATAAATAAGCATCCTTTTCTAATAGACACTGCTAATAAAAATTAACATTAGAAGATCCATTTTATTTATTCATTTAGCAAATTTCTATCCCGCTCATGCCTCTGGGTGGTTATAAAAATAAAACAGTAAAAGCACATAAAAGTGCTATGGTTAAAAACAAAGCTTAAAACCAGATTAAAATAAAGTTAAAAAGAACAATTGCAGAGCAGTGCCCTGGCTTAGAGGTATAGAACCTTGCCTCACACTTAGGAGTTTGAGAGTTCTAGCCTAGGCAGCAACAGATGTTTCTCTATCTGGGCACAAAGAGAAAATATCTACTGTGAACTCTGCATAGGTGTCAGGAAGGGCATCTGGTCAGTAAATGCTCAGCTCCATTCAATCACCCAACTCCACTCTGATAAAAGGGATTACAAAAATTGTAAAAGGAAGAAAAGAACAACTGCAGAGTTAAAAGGTGGAGGAAGCACCTCTAGCCTACCAACTGCTCTTAGACACCACCACCTCAGGGAGATTGGCAGAACTAGGTCTTGATGCTCTTCTGGAAGGGCAGGAGAGTGGGGGCCTGCCTTGCCTCTTAGACAAGCTGTTCCATAGTACGAGGGTGATCATAGAGAAGGCTCTCTCTTTTTTTTTCTAATTATTTTTTTCTAATTTCTTTTTCTGAAAGGGCAGCACTGCAAGGGAAGGCAAAGAGATTGAGAGTTGAGTGGGTATCAAGTACTTATATACCATTCATACTCAATAAAAGTGTCAACTGTCACATATGACTACCATTTCCTGGAATAAAATCACATCACACTCATGTTAGAAGCACCAAGGGGCTTCTGGGTTGAAAGGTTTAGCCGGTGACATCACCGTTGCCTGGAGGACACTCAGTTGGGAGCTCCTTTCATGTTCCTGGCAGGAGCTGAAGCAAAGGATGGGAGCTTATCCTGCCCCACAACACCACTCAGGTCTCAAAAGTGGGTTTGCTAACCTCCAACCCAGTGTCCTAACCATGCAAGCCACTGTGCTCCCTGAAATATGATAAAGATGTATTTCTGATCCTGTTCATCCTTGCCTCAGTAGAAGCCGGATGCTCTAAACAAAACCTTTCTATTATTATTTGTTCATACACACTTCAAAATGATGTCTCCATGTTCCTTTCAACTTTAGGGGAATGGGATACTTTAATTAGGAGATCAACCCTGACTGCTCTTTAGAAGGTCAGATCCTGAAGATGAAACTCAAATACTTTGGTCACCTAATGAGAAGGAAGGACTCACTGGAGAAGAGCCTAATGCTGGGAAAGATTGAGGGCAAGAGAAGAAGGGGTGACAGAGAATGATGGCTGGATGGAGTCAGTTAAGCTGTAGGCATGAGCTTAAATGGACTCCAGAGGATGGTAGAGGATAGGAAGGCCTGGAGGAACATTGTCCATGGGGTTGCAATGGGTCAGACATGACTTCACAGCTAACAACAATAATAACATACTTTAACTATCCATATTAGCAATACCAAGAAAGGTCAGATAGGCTGAAAATCAACATTTCAGACAGGTTGTCATTTGCTAGTCTTTCATCTGTAGACAAAGAAATGCAATAAGCAATAAGAATTATCATGGCTCTTCTCCCAGAGACTTTCCTCATGTCACACATCTGTTTGATTATGTAGACCTGGATGTTCCATCAACTCTTTAAAAAATCACTATTAAGCTGTTCTGTTTCTAAAATCACATGTATGTGAATATCTGCTTGTGCAATGCAACTTAGTTCAAATCTACTCCAGAATCTATATAAATTTGATTAATAGATCGATAAAAATAAATAAAATTTCCCGAATTTCTGCATAGTAGTTAAGGATATAAAGTAGCGAGGACCATTTTTTGCTACTGATGGATGCCATTCTTCCTGGATAACATTCTGTAGCATTTTTGGTTACAGCCTATTGTTTGCAATCCTAAAAATATTAATTATAGAAGTTCCCAGGTGTGATGAAATCCTAATCACTTCCTTAGACTTTCCCCCCCTAAAATATACCAATTAATTTTTTGTTACTTTTTTCTTTAGAAGTAAAATGTACAGAGCAAGAATCTTTCAATAGGAACAAATTTTTGCACAGCCTGTTCTATTACATGAGAAAAAAGTACAAAAAGATACCCCATTAATTGCACTCCATTTTCTTGCTGATGTTGCAAAATAAGTCATCGTAAAATTATGAATATCTTTGCTTTTCAGAATAAATTAACCTCTTAGAAATATAATGGTGGACACAGAAGATCATCTAATGAAAGACCACAATTAAAATAATGTCCTAAGTATCTACCTGCTAAAGCAGAGCCCACATAATTGCATAAAGGAATTTGATTTGTTTTGCTATTTTAACCATTGTGTTCTCTCAACCAAGGAAATATTTCTAGCCTTGAATAGCAATGAACTAAGAGAACTTTTCTAGCTTTCTCATTCAGGTACATTGGCCTTCATGTTTTACGATCCATAAGCAGCATGAACAATGTATAGGCTGTCTAGGGGATTGATGTGGAGCTATTTGTTTATTTGCGGAGGCTGCCCCACTCTTCATGACTCTGGGAAGCATATAATTTGAAAAGAGCAATGCATTAAAAAAAATAGTGGCCTGAAGATAGACTTACAAACAAGACCCAATCCAGCAAGAACTCCTCTCTTATCAGACCCTTATGGTCGGCTCCTGCCAATTCAGACTGGTTCGGGCGAACCAGTAGTTGTGACCTGTGGGTGGCCACCCACCCACCCGGGCGCCAGGCCCAACCACCCGCCCCGGTGCAATCCCATCCTATATTGCTGTGTTTTTTGACACCACATGAATGCGTGGATAGCCCGTCTGAGTGAATTGCCGTGTTTTTTGATGCTGCATGCATGCATGCATGGTCACATTTCCGGTGCTGGGTGAACTGGTTGTTACAGTATGTGATGCCCACCTCTGTCCTACCCCATGATGGAAAGGAAGAGAAAAAGATCTTCATCAGATGGAAAGACGATACCTGGAGAGCATTAAGTCGGATGTCCAGTTTAACAGCTCTAAGCAAAAAGTTCAAATAAGCTAGTGCTGAAAATTCTAATGCAGGATTTAGGGGCAAGAAAAGCTAAGAAAGGGGTTATTAAAACAAAAAAAACCCCACCCTTTTTATCATTGTTATTGCTTTTCAACTTGTGTTTAGCTGCTTGTGTTGGCATCTGACTTTTATAAACAGTTTTAAAGTCTCTCTCTTTCTCTTTTCCTGAATACCAGTCAAAGGTAATATGGCATCATGGACCCATATATCTAAACAAATCTGACTTTGTGTCCAAATTTGATACTGCTAGTAATGGAAAAGTACATTTGACTTAATACAGTTATGGTCTTCTAAAAACTAAAGCATCAAAACTAAGAAAATTAGAAAATGTTTGTGTTCTTTCCTCTACTGTAATTTTCTGCTAAAGTCTAACACAGCCTGACATATTTCATGTAAAGAATGCACCATTCATTTGTTTATATGTTATATAAAATAGGCCAACTCCCCACCCCCTTCTAAATTTACCAGGACTTTATTTTGCAAAAGTGTTGACAGGTTGGCATGAGATTGAGATACAAACTATCTACTTGTCAATAACTTCAAACCATCGTTCATTCATTCGTTCGTTCATTTGTTTGTTTGTATTTATTTATTTATTCAATTTGTATAGCCACCTATCTCAGTCAAGGACTCTGGTGGCTTAACCCAAACTATAAAAACAATTTTAAAAATTTAAAAACCATCTAAAATAAATATACACAGAAGCAGAGATAGTTAACCAGTTGACATTAAAATGAAGAAACAAGGCCCTTAAGACATTCAGTATCGCATACTCAGGAACACATCCAATTTTTTAAAGCCTTACAAAAGGCCAACAGAGTTGAGGTCATTCTAATCTCTCAGGGGCTACTGCAGAAAAGGTCTATCTTCTAGTCCCTATCAGCCAACACTCTTTGGCTGACAGGATCTGCAGCATGCCCAATCTGCTAGATTTTCAGTAAATATCTTCACTTTTTTGATGAAATAATTTTTCAAATAATTAATATTAAAATAATCTCCCAACAGAAGTGACCAATACTGTTAAATCATACAGCTGTGTGTGCATTGAGGAACTGATCCAAAATCTGCCATGGGGAAGATTTACAGCATTTTGCTTTTAATAATATTGACAAAATATTTAACCAATTCCAGGGGAAGGATATTGCAAAATTACCATTCCCCTCCACTCTGGGGCCAGCCAAAGGTGGTATTTGCCGGTTCTCCGAACTGCTCAAAATTTCCGCTACCGGTTCTCCAGAACCTGTCAGAACCTGCTAGATTTCACCTCTGGTTGGAAAGATTCAGGAAGAAAATGGCTGTAAGAAAGAATTCAAATCAAAATCAAATCAAGTTTATTACAGTCGAAGACCGGAGACCAGAACAAATAAAAACACTCAATGACTATCCAGTTAAAAATTCTAGAATATAATAATAAATAGCATAAAAATCTACAATAAAATCACAATTTGGCATCCAGTCTGTCAGTTACACATGGCCTAACTATACTATGACATAAATCCATAAACTGTGAGACCCGTGGTCATTAAATACTAAAATACCAACAAACAAAAAAAATAGTAATGCAAAAGGGTTTGCTACATTAGTTGTATAAAATAGCTATGGTGGATTAATCACAGGTTTCCAATGAATGCACAGTGCAAAATTTAGCCACTTTTGCTGTAGTCACAGTCTGTTGTGTAAAAATAATAGGGAAGCTGGAGTATTCACCATATTTACATCAAAATGTTTCCAAGTTTTTTTATTGTGAAAGTAAAACTTAGGGGTAAAAAAAGGTATGAAAATTACTTTTAATTTTCCT